TACACACTGACACACACTGACACACACTGATACACACTGATACACACTGACACACACTAACACACACTGACACACACTAACACACACTGATACACACTAACACACACTAACACACACTGATACACACTGACACACACTGACACACACTGATACACACTGACACACACTGACACACACTAACACACACTGACACACACTGACACACACTAACACACACTGACACACACTAACACACACTGATACACACTAACACACACTGATACACACTGACACACACTGACACACACTGATACACACTGACACACACTGACACACACTAACACACACTGACACACACTGACACACACTAACACACACTGACACACACTAACACACACTGATACACACTAACACACACTGACACACACTAACACACACTGATACACACTAACACACACTGATACACACTGACACACACTGACACACACTAACACACACTAACACACACTGACACACACTGACACACACTAACACACACTGACACACACTGACACACACTGAGACACACTGACACACACTAACACACACTGACACACACTGACACACACTGACACACACTGACACACACTAACACACACTGACACACACTGACACACACTAACACACACTGACACACACTGACACACACTAACACACACTAACACACACTGACACACACTGACACACACACTAACACACGCTGACACACACTAACACACACTGACACACACTAACACACACTGACACACACTGACACACACTGACACACACTAACACACACTGACACACACTGACACACACTGACACACACTAACACACACTGACACACACTGACACACACACTAACACACACTGACACACACTAATACTATCACACACTAACACACACTGACACACACTAACACTAACACACACTGACACACACTGACACACACTAACACACATTAACACACACTGACACACACACTAACACACACTGACACACACTGACACACATAGACACACTAACACACACTGAAACACTAACACACACTGACACACACTAGCACATACTGACACACACTGACACACACTGACGCACACTAACACACACTGACACACACTAGCACACACTAACACACACTGACACACACTAACACACACTGACACACACTAACACACACTGATACACACTAACACACACTGATACACACTGACACACACTGACACACACTGATACACACTGACACACACTGACACACACTAACACACACTGACACACACTGACACACACTAACACACACTGACACACACTAACACACACTGATACACACTAACACACACTGACACACACTAACACACACTGATACACACTAACACACACTGATACACACTGACACACACTGACACACACTAACACACACTAACACACACTGACACACACTGACACACACTAACACACACTGACACACACTGACACACACTGAGACACACTGACACACACTAACACACACTGACACACACTGACACACACTGACACACACTGACACACACTAACACACACTGACACACACTGACACACACTAACACACACTGACACACACTGACACACACTAACACACACTAACACACACTGACACACACTGACACACACACTAACACACGCTGACACACACTAACACACACTGACACACACTAACACACACTGACACACACTGACACACACTGACACACACTAACACACACTGACACACACTGACACACACTGACACACACTAACACACACTGACACACACTGACACACACACTAACACACACTGACACACACTAATACTATCACACACTAACACACACTGACACACACTAACACTAACACACACTGACACACACTGACACACACTAACACACATTAACACACACTGACACACACACTAACACACACTGACACACACTGACACACATAGACACACTAACACACACTGAAACACTAACACACACTGACACACACTAGCACATACTGACACACACTGACACACACTGACGCACACTAACACACACTGACACACACTAGCACACACTAACACACACTGACACACACTAACACACACTGACACACACTAACACACACTGACACACACTAGTACACACTGACACACACTAGCACACACTGACACACACTAACACACACTAGCACACACTGACACACACTAGCACACACTGACACACACTAACACACACTGACACACACTAGCACACATTGACACACACTGACACACACTGACACACACTAACACACACTGACACACACGGACACACTTAACACACACTGACACACACTAACACACACTAACACACGCTGACACAGTGTTGGGGGAGTGTTGGGGGTGAGTTGGGGTAGTTTTGGGGTAGTGTTGGGGTAGTGTTGAGGGTGAGTTGGGGAGTGCTGGGGCAGTGTTGGGGGAGTATTGGGGGTGAGTTGGGAAAATGTTGGGGGTGAGTTGCGGGAGTGCTGGGGCAGTGTTGTGGTGAGTTGGGGGAGTGTTGGGAGAGTATTGGGGGTGAGTTGGAGGAGTGTTGGGGTAGTGTTGAGGGTGAGTTGGGGGAGTGCTGGGGCAGTGTTGTGGTGAGTTGGGGGAGTGTTGAGGGTGAGTTGGGAAGTGCTGGGGCAGTGTTGGGGGAGTATTGGGGGTGAGTTAGGGTAGTGTTGGGGGAGTGTCGGGGGTGAGTTGGGGGAGTGTTGGGGCAGTGTTGGGGGAGTGTCGGGGGTGAGTTAGGGTAGTGTTGGGGGAGTGTCGGGGGTGAGTCGGGGGAGTGATGGGGCAGTGGGGAGTGTTGGGGGAGTGTTAGGGCAGTGTTGGGGGAGTGTTGGGGGTGAGTTGGGGCAGTGTTGGGGGTGAATTGGGGCAGTGTTGGGGGTGATTTGGGGCAGTGTTGGGGGTGAGTTGGGGGTGAGTTGGGGCAGTGTTGGGGGTGAATTGGGGCAGTGTTGGGGGTGAGTTGGGGCAGTGTTGGGGGTGAGTTGGGGGTGAATTGGGGCAGTGTTGAGGGTGAGTTGGGGGAGTATTGGGGGTGAGTTAGGGTAGTGTTGGGGGAGTGTCGGGGGTGAGTTGGGGGAGTGTTGGGGCAGTGTTGGGGGAGTGTCGGGGGTGAGTTAGGGTAGTGTTGGGGGAGTGTCGGGGGTGAGTCGGGGGAGTGATGGGGCAGTGGGGAGTGTTGGGGTGAGTTGGGGGAGTGTTAGGGCAGTGTTGGGGGAGTGTCGGGGGTGAGTTGGGGGTGAATTGGGGCAGTGTTGGGGGTGAGTTGGGGCAGTGTTGGGGGTGAGTTGGGGGAGTGTTGGGGGTGAGTTGGGGCAGTGTTGGGGGTGAATTGGGGCAGTGTTGGGGGTGAGTTGGGGCAGTGTTGGGGGTGAGTTGGGGGTGAATTGGGGCAGTGTTGAGGGTGAGTTGGGGGAGTATTGGGGGTGAGTGGGGGGAGTGTTGGGGGAGTGTCGGAGGTGAGTGTTGGGGCAGTGTTGGGGGTGAGTTGGGGGAGTATTGGGGGTGAGTTGGGGGAGTGCTGGGGCAGTGTTGGGGGAGTATTGGGGGTGAGTTGCGGGAGTGCTGGGGGTGAGTTGGAGGAGTGTTGGGGTAGTGTTGAGGGTGAGTTGGGGGAGTGTTGGGGCAGTGTTGGGGGTGAATTGGGGCAGTGTTGAGGGTGAGTTGGGGGAGTATTGGGGTGAGTTGGGGGAGTGCTGGGGCAGTGTTGGGGGAGTGTCGGGGGTGAGTGTTGGGGCAGTGTTGGGGGTGAGTTGGGGGAGTATTGGGATTGAGTTAGAGTAGTGTTGGGGGTGAGTTAGGGTAGTGTTGGGGGAGTGTCGGGGGAGTGTTGGGGCAGTGGGGAGTGTTGGGGTGAGTTGGGGGAGTGTTAGGGCAGTGTTGGGGGAGTGCTGGGGCAGTGTTGGGGGTGAGTTGGGGCAGTCTTGGGGGTGAATTGGAGCAGTGTTGGGGGTGAGTTGGGGCAGTGTTGGGGGTAAATTGGGGCAGTGTTGGGGGTGAGTTGGGGCAGTGTTGGGGGTGAGTTGGGGGAGTGTTGGGGGTGAGTGTGGGGCAGTGTTGGGGGTGAATTGGAGCAGTGTTGGGGGTGAGTTTGGGCAGTGTTGGGGGTGAGTTGGGGCAGTGTTGGGGGTGAGTTGGGGGAGTGTTGGGGTGAGTGTGGGGCAGTGTTGGGGGTGAATTGGGGCAGTGTTGAGGGTGAGTTGGGGGAGTATTGGGGTGAGTTGGGGGAGTGTTGGGGGAGTGTCGGGGGTGAGTGTTGGGGAAGTGTTGGGGGTGAGTTGGGGGAGTATTGGGGGAGTGTCGGGGGAGTGTTGGGGCAGTGGGGAGTGTTGGGGTGAGTTGGGGGAGTGCTGGGGCAGTGTTGGGGGTGAGTTGGGGGTGAATTGGGGGAGTGTTGGGGGTGAGTTGGGGCAGTCTTGGGGGTGAATTGGAGCAGTGTTGGGGGTGAGTTGGGGCAGTGTTGGGGGTGAATTGGGGCAGTGTTGGGGGTGAGTTGGGGCAGTGTTGGGGGTGAGTTGGGGCAGTGTTGGGGGTGAGTTGGGGGAGTGTTGGGGGTGAATTGGAGCAGTGTTGGGGGTGAGTTGGGGCAGTGTTGGGGGTGAGTTGGGGGAGTGTTGGGGGTGAGTGTGGGGCAGTGTTGGGGTGAATTGGAGCAGTGTTGAGGGTGAGTTGGGGCCAGTGGGAGTGGGTCCCAGCTCAAAAGTGGCCAAAATGACGTGCGCTGACAACGGCGGAGATAGGCATGACTCTGTCCGTTAATATATACAGTCTATGGTTGGTGTAGTGTTGGGGGTGAATTGGGGCAGTGTTGGGGGTGAATTTTGCTTCTCAGCAAGAAGGTCCTGGGTTCGAATCCAGGTCAGAACAGGGCCTTTCTGAGGGGAGTTTGCATGTTCTCCCCGTGTCTGCGTAGTTTTCCTCCGGGTGCTCCGGTTTCCCCTACCACTAAAAACATGCACAATAGGTCTGAATGTAAATGAGAGAGTGAATGGATGGTGTTGGGTCAGAGGCTTTGATGGTCCAGTGTGTTCTGGACTCGCTTCTGTCATCACCGGAACAATATCTGACTCTGAACATTGGAAAGTGCTTTGGGTCTGTACCTTGGTCTGTACCTTGGTCTGTACCTTTGGGTCTGTACCTTGGTCTGTAACATGTGCTATATAAGTAAATATTACTTACTCACTTACTAGTGTTGGGGGTGAGTTGCGGGAGTGCAGGTGGATGTCGAGGTGAATTAACAGAACATTAATGAAACCAAAACATGTCAGAGCTGTTTTAACACCTGCGCTCGCCGCCGCCGTCTGCAGCAGAGCGTTTGGGGAACGCCGCCGTCTGCAGCAGAGCGTTTGGGGAACGCCGCAGAACGAGACGTTATGAAAACATGAGGCTGAAATATTTGGTTCCTGTTGACAACAAAAAAATAATTAAAATATACATATGTTAAAAATTGAAGTAAAATAAAGTAAATCACTTTTAAACTTTTAAAACCTGCTCCGATGATTTTAAACTGTCAAAACACACACACACACACACACACACACACACACACACACACACACACACACACAGTGGCTCAGTTGGTAGAGCATTGGACTTTGGGCCTGAAGGTTGTAGGTTCAAATCCACCATGAGACCTACTTCACGACTCCCACTGATGACTGCTGTTGTTGTGTCCTTGGGCAAGACACTTAACCCCACTTTGCTTGAAGCCCCCACTGAAAGATCTCAGCTCCTGTGGACTCACCACCTGCAGGAGGATCAGTGAGGGGCTGGTGCTCTGACTGCCACCCCCGACCCAGAAATGGATCAAGGGGAAGAAAATGGATGGATGGATGGACACACACACGCACAAATAAACACACACACATACACGGACACACAGAGACACACACACAATCATTTACAGAGGATGAAAATAAACACAAACAAACATGTGCCACTCGGCTGAAAATAAACATTTAGAAAGAGACAAAGTAAATCTACAACAAACACAGAACACACAACAATGACAAACACAGAACACACAACAATGACAAACACAGAACACACAACAATGACAAACACGGAGGAGCAGAGAGAGGAGCAGAGAGAGGAGCAGAGAGAGGAGGAGAGAGAGGAGCAGAGAGAGGAGCAGAGAGAGGAGCAGAGAGAGGAGCAGAGAGAGGAGCAGAGAGAGGAGCAGAGAGAGGAGGAGAGAGAGGAGCAGAGAGAGGAGCAGAGAGAGGAGCAGAGAGAGGAGGAGAGAGAGGAGCAGAGAGAGGAGCAGAGAGAGGAGCAGAGAGAGGAGGAGAGAGAGGAGCAGAGAGAGGAGCAGAGAGAGGAGGAGAGAGAGGAGTTGGATTAAGAAGCTCTTTAAATATATCATTGAAGGTGATTTTTTTTTAATTGTTAAATTAAAAACAGCGACTGAAACTCAGTAAAACTTATATATATGTATATAATATGTATATAATATATATATATATATATATATATATATATATATATATATATATATATATATATATATATATATATATATATATATATATATATATATATATATATATATATATACATATATATATGTATATTACATATATAATATGTTTTTATGGTTAGAATTAAAATAGATTAATTCAGATCACTGTAAGATTCAGAATCTGAAAACACGTCTTTGTTTTAATTTGTGGCTCAACATTAAACATTGAATATTTTAAAGGGAAATGTTGTTTTGAAATTTTTATCACATTGAAATTTGTAAACTGAATTTGTCGTCACTGAAATTATTATTATCATTGTTAATATTATATTATTATTATTGTTTTTATTATCATTATTATTATTATTATTATTATTATTATTATTATTATTATTATTGTTATTATTATTATTATATTATTATTGTTTTCAGTAAATGCAAAGACAAATATATTCAAACTTTAACATTTCAAATTAAAAATTCAACCTAATTTAAAAGTCAGAAGTCCCCAAACATCTGGACGAGCTCAGGCCCAGAGTGTGCGGGGGTCAGAGGTCACAGACTGGTTTACACCTCTCTCTGCGGGCGGACGGTGGGAGGCTTTGGGGGGAGGAGGGGGGGGAGGAGGGGGGAGAGGAGGGGGGAGGAGGGGGGGGAGGAGGGGGGAGAGGGAGGGGGAGTCATGGTGTGGATCAGCCTCTGCTGCAGCCCTGACCTGTGCAAAGCAGAGGAAGCTCAGACACCTGCAGAGTGTCAGACTGTTTACAGAGCAGCAGCTGCACCGTCAGCGTCACATCATCATCACAGCGGTCGCACACAAAGAAACACACAAACACCACAACGACAAAAGGACATTAGCAGAGTTTAATGATGCAAAGCACTTACGGAGTCATCCACGGCTCTAGACTCGAGAGCCAAAGGCTTCTCTGCTCTAAATATTAGCTCCAACTCATCTTTCAACTTGTCAAAACATAGACCTGCTTTTAATCTGCTTTTAACCTTCTTCATCTTTGACTGTTGCAGAATCTGCACTCGCCCCGATCCTCTGCTCGCCTCAATCCTCTGCTCACCCCGATCCTCTGCTCACCTCAATCCTCTGCTCACCTCAATCCTCTGCTCGCCCCGATCCTCTGCTCACCCCGATCCTCTGCTCACCCCGATCCTCTGCTCGCCCCGATCCTCTGCTCGCCCCGATCCTCTGCTCACCCCGATCCTCTGCTCACCCCGATCCTCTGCTCACCCCGATCCTCTGCTCACCCCAATCCTCTGCTCGCCCCGATCCTCTGCTCACCCCGATCCTCTGCTCGCCTCAATCCTCTGCTCGCCTCAATCCTCTGCTCACCCCGATCCTCTGCTCGCCCCAATCCTCTGCTCGCCCCGATCCTCTGCTCACCCCGATCCTCTGCTCGCCTCAATCCTCTGCTCGCCTCAATCCTCTGCTCGCCTCAATCCTCTGCTCGCCCCGATCCTCTGCTCGCCTCAATCCTCTGCTCGCCTCGATCCTCTGCTCGCCCCGATCCTCTGCTCACCCCGATCCTCTGCTCACCCCGATCCTCTGCTCACCCCGATCCTCTGCTCACCCCGATCCTCTGCTCGCCTCAATCCTCTGCTCACCCCAATCCTCTGCTCGCCTCAATCCTCTGCTCGCCTCAATCCTCTGCTCGCCTCAATCCTCTGCTCACCCCGATCCTCTGCTCACCCCGATCCTCTGCACTCGCCTTTATCCTCCTCCTATATTATTATACACAGTGTATATACAGTATATATATATATATATATACAGTATATATATATATATATATATACAGTATATATATATATATATATATAAGTTTACTATATAAGTTTGAGTCAGGTTGAGTCAGCAGAGAGAACCAGGACCTGGACTGTCTGCGTGCCCTTGAGCAAGGTTAGCACGAAGAATCCCATCTGGAATCTGACTTTTGACGGACACGAACTTAAACAGTGACGACTTTTGACTAATTTCAAAGTGAACTTTTCCTAAAGATAAACAGACTGAAGCTGCTCAGGTTTGTTATTAATGATGTTAGAGAACTCTCTATATCTTTATCTTTAAACACTGTTTATGTCAAAACATTGTTCTTCTACAAAACAATGAAAATGAGATTATAGAAGATTTACAAACACAATACTATGTACACAAGTAACTAAGTACTTCCTTATGTACTGTATTATCAGCACAAACATGTTTAAGAGTCCACAGAAGAGAGAGTCCAGGGAGAACCTCATGAAAGAACCTCATGAAAGAACCTCATGAAAGAACCTCATGAAAGAACCTCATGAAAGAACCTCATGAAAGAACCTCATGAAAGAACCTCATGAAAGAACCTCATTAAAGAACTTCATGAAAGAACCTCATGAAAGAACCTCATGAAAGAACCTCATGAAAGAACCTCATGAATGAACCTCATGAAAGAACCTCATGAAAGAACCTCATGAAAGAACCTCATGAAAGAACCTCATGAAAGAACCTCATGAATGAACTTCATAAATGAACCTCATGAAAGAACCTCATGAAAGAACTTCATGAATGAACCTCATGAATGAACCTCATGAAAGAACCTCATAAAAGAACCTCATGAAAGAACCTCATGAAAGAACCTCATGGACGAACCTCATGAATGAACCTCATGAATGAACTTCATGAATGAACCTCATGAAAGAACCTCATGAAAGAACCTCATGAATGAATCTCATGAAAGAACCTCATGAAAGAACCTCATGAAAGAACCTCATGAAAGAACCTCATGGACGAACCTCATGAATGAACCTCATGAAAGAACCTCATGAAAGAACCTCATGAAAGAACCTCATGAAAGAACCTTATGAATGAACCTCATGAAAGAACCTCATGAAAGAACCTCATGAAAGAACCTCATGAAAGAACCTCATGAATGAACCTCATGAAAGAACCTCATGAAAGAACCTCATGAAAGAACCTCATAAATGAACCTCATGAAAGAACCTCATGAAAGAACCTCATGAAAGAACCTCATGAAAGAACCTCATGAATGAACCTCATGAAAGAACCTAATGAAAGAACCTCATGAATGAACCTCATGAAAGAACCTCATGAATGAACCTCATGAATGAACCTCATGAATGAACCTCATGAATGAACCTCATGAATGAACCTCATGAATGAACCTCATGAAAGAACCTCATGAAAGAACCTCATGGACGAACCTCATGAATGAACCTCATGAATGAACCTCATGAATGAACCTCATGAAAGAACCTCATGAAAGAACCTCATGAATGAACCTCATGAAAGAACCTAATGAATGAACCTCATGAAAGAACTTCAGGAAAGAACCTCATGAAAGAACCTCATGAATGAACCTCATGAAAGAACTTCATGAAAGAACCTCACGAAAGAACCTCATGAATGAACCTCATGAAAGAACCTCATGAAAGAACCTCATGAAAGAACCTAATGAATGAACCTCATGAAAGAACCTCATGAAAGAACCTCATGAAAGAACCTCATGAAAGAACCTCATGAAAGAACCTCATGAAAGAACCTCATGAAAGAACCTCATGAATGAACCTCATGAAAGAACCTCATGAAAGAACCTCATGAAAGAACCTCATGAATGAACCTCATGAAAGAACCTAATGAAAGAACCTCATGAAAGAACCTAATGAATGAACCTCATGAAAGAACTTCAGGAAAGAACCTCATGGACGAACCTCATGAATGAACCTCATGAATGAACCTCATGAAAGAACCTAATGAAAGAACCTCATGAAAGAACTTCAGGAAAGAACCTCATGAAAGAACCTCATGAAAGAACCTCATGAATGAAAGCTGCAAATTGTGAAATGTGGGTTGGCAACTTTTCCCCGACACCATTTCACTTTTTAAAGAAGGACTTCTTTCATTTCCACAGAGACGTCCACCTCCGACTGAAACACAGACCACCCCCAATGTAAGGTACAGCTCTGAAGACGCAGACATCAGGTAATATTTATGGATCACTACAATCTTGGTGTTTCGACCCACGGGAGGTTAGCTTAGTTAGCTTAGCCCCAAACTGACCATATCCAAGTCATATGTTGGTATCCAAACTCATGTTAAGTAGTTAATTTGTAAAAAGACAAAAATATGTAACAAAAAAAAATGTTTATAAAAGAAAAACAGTTTCTTCTACTAATACTTCTGGCCCCAACAGCTCTTATGAGTTTTTTAATTTGGCCAAAAATGAGTTTGACACTAGTTGTTAAGGTAAAGGTGTATCCCTGTGGGATAATCCAATCCTCTGCATTTGACCCTGATGCCCTAAGGCTTACGTAAGGAACAGTGGTCGCCGTAGTAACAGCGCCCGGGAACCCATCTCCAGATGTTGATGCTCGGCTTGGTCAGGACCAGAGCTGGAGCATGTTTTTAACAGTAGGGGAAACCGGAGCGCCAGGAGGAAACCTATGCAAGCACAGGGGGAACATGCAAACACCAGTCAGAAAGACCCTGTTCTGACCGGGATTCGAACCCAGGACCTTCTTGCTGAGAGGCGAGAGTGCTATCTTTTTTTTTCTAGAGGTAAAGGTTAGCTGTTAGCTGTTAGCAGTTAGCTGTTAGCTTCCCTGTCGGCAGTGAATGCAGTCCCAGTATTTCACTGGTCTGTGTTGACGCTCAGTGTCATTACGTCACTTCTCAAACTGAGTCAGAAAAGTCTAAACCTGTGAATACTGTGTATTATTTCAGAAACAGGCATTTCCCATTTTCCACCTCTGTCTGTGTTTCCAAACCCTTATGTAGCCGTGGTTCACCTTTAAAAACACCACCATCTGAAACTGATACAAACATGAAACTTATAGATTTTAGTAAGAAAGCAAAGTCTAATCAAAGTATAAATATATAGAAAATGAAGTGAGCGCAGTCTTTCTAATCTTCTCACATTATTTTCTTTTCACATTATTTTGACCAATTATGTGATATTTCCCAGGACACACTAATGAACCACGGCCCACTGGTTGAAAAACACTGGGTTAAATTTAGTGTTAAAGGAGCAATATGTTTTTGATCCTCATTACCCCTAGATTTCTGACCTTGTTTGAAGGTTTTAGGGAGAGAGACTGTAGGTGACAGATGACGCTCTCTCTTTGTTTCTGGGGACCAAAGACAATCATTTCAGTTTTGTCTGCGTTTAGCTGAAGGAAGTTGTTTTGCATCCACTCACTGATCTGTTGGATACAGTGAAGGAGTGAGTCCACTGGTCCATGTTCTCCTGCAGTCAGTGAGACATAGATCTGAGTGTCGTCTGCATAGTTGTGATAGGACACTTTGTTTCTGCGTATTAACTGACCTAACGGCAGCATGTAGAGATTGAACAGAAGAGGTCCCAGGATCGACCCCTGTGGGACTCCACAGGTCAGGGCCATATGATCTGAGACACAGTTTCCAATCTCCACAAAGTAATTCCTGTCTTCAAGGTAAGACCTAAACCAACTTAGGGCGGTGCCAGTGACGCCAACCCAGTCCTCTAATCTCTGTGAGGACCACTCAGTCCTCTAGTCTCTGTGAGGACCACTCAGTCCTCTGGTCTCTGTGAGGACCACTCAGTCCTCTAGTCTCTGTGAGGACCACTCAGTCCTCTAGTCTCTGTGAGGACCACTCAGTCCTCTGGTCTCTGTGAGGACCACTTAGTCCTCTAGTCTCTGTGAGGACCACTCAGTCCTCTAATCTCAGTACTGTTGTGGGGTCTAAAGCCGGACTGAAACATATCAAATGAGTTGTTGATTATAAGAAATCTAGTAAGCTGTAGGTAGACAACTTTCTCAAGGACTTTCCCCATAAATGGCAGATTTGAGATGGGACGATAGTTGTTAAGTACAGTGGCATCCAGACTGCTCTTTTTTAGTTACTGCAGCCTTCAATCATTTCAGAAAAATACCTTTCTCTCGTACTATGTAGCACCCGGTTAAACTCGCACAACTTATCTTTGAAGATCTCGTAATCTACCTGGAGGTTGGACTTGCGCCACTTC